AAAATGTTCCAAACCACTAACCAGTTATTGATTGGAAAATCTTTTGAAAAAACCGCAGTTTCATGGAGCAACATTGAAAATTTTCCCTGACAAACACTCCATATCAACCTGTGCATCCCCATTATGATATCCCATATATTCTATCAAATCCTATGGTTAACCCCAAAATTGTGAGCGTAAAATCCCCATTCTTTGTGAGGGTGAATATTTGGGGTACCCAAACAGTTACAGTAGATGGTAGTCGTTGTTTTGGAAAAGTGCCGTAACCAGTTGATTTGTGGTCCCCTGAGCGAAGGCCCATGTTTATTGGTTTAAAACCCCATCTGAGGGTACATTGATCACAAATCCATCCGCTAGTTAGCCTAACAACATATAATGACATAAAGCAACTTACCTATCTTTCGGGGGCCCCTTCCTGTGCTATGGTCCCAGAATTGGAAGGAAAGCCCCTGTCATTGTGGGTGGGTTCGGATGTCTTCCCCCACAATGCCAGTGGACAGCGAAACTCATTCTTTGGTTGCAATACTCAACCAATGTATCCATAAAACATTGGACAAGTGATAGTATAAAACAAGAACGCGATAAACACCATAAACACTAGTAATTAAGTTTGTATCATACGATTGCCTACATCTTAAATTTTCAATAAGTATGATGGTTGATGTTCATGGTTTTTCCAGAATAGTGATTTTCATTGGTTTCTCCATAACAATGCTAAACTATAAGAAGGTAATGTATATAACAACAATAACTATAGGATCAACTTAGTTTCAGAGTAAATATCATATCTATATAAATTCAAACAACAACAAGAAATAATATGAAATAACACTTAGCATATAGTTAATCATTTAACCATACTATTCAACCAATATGAACCAATTCTGATCAGTAACCATTGATCAACATATTGCCCAGTGGCCCTGCCCTTCGCCTCGTTAAACGCGGTGGCCACATGGGAGGCCAGTCGCTCAATGAGCCGCCCGAATTCCGCCGGCACCGCAGCCACCTTTTCAGGAGGATGCGCGCGTGGTAGCTCTCAGCTCAGCTTCCCATTGAATAGGCTATTCATATCCCATAGGATCCATGGTGCTGCCATATATGGTAACATTTACCATCAATATACTACCCCAGTCATGTTAGCAAATATACCATACATGGATCCTATTCATATTCTATTCATAGGCTTAATGGAGATGGATATAGCTCCGAATTGCTCCCATATGATGCTTCAAAAAAAAGCAACCGAGATACAAAAGTAAGATCCTAATATACATTCTACTAAAATGAAATGAGTTTCGACATGTTTCGACTATATCATGTAATTATTCAATTTTCTTTCCGGGGTACTATAAACGAACAAAGTGATGGGAAATTTCCATACCTCACTGAGTCAAAAAGGCTCTGGACGCGCGGCGATAGCCTATCAGCCCAGCCTTGTCTCTTATAACGAGGAATGCCTGCCCCAAAACCAGAAATTACGCGGCAAATCAATGAAAATCCAATTGCTGCAGAGCTGTCAGGCCAGGCAGATCCGGGAAAGACGATTTTACGCTGCACTCCGACCAATTCTGGCACACACCAAAATCTTCACTACGTCTCGATGGTTGCACAAAAAGGCCAAACGCAAAGCTGTTGAGCCATTTAACACTGATCCACATGGCATGAAATGCCAAGGTATTTGGCCTCCAGTCATTGGGACATCAATGTTTGCACCATTCTCAACTAACAATCGAAGCATTTCCAGGCAACCACTCCCAGCTGCCAAATGCTTCGATCAGCTGCACCACTTCCAGCCGCCAGCCGCTGCGATGTGAATGGGTGCGAAAAACGCTTCCCCTTGGACCTCTGACATTGGGATCTGACATCGGTTTCTGAAGCATCTCAACTTGATCTATAAGATTTGTTTTACATGCACGGTCGAGTTCTTTTGCTGACGTCTGATCAGAAGTCACAAAGTTCAAAATCACCAATTGCACATTTGCCAATGCTGGCAAGAGCATGTCATTCTGCATCGGGCCACCATCCCCAAGGAGTGTCCAGTACTGCCAGAAACTGTTTGAGGTGCCTCACCATCTCCATCTCCAAGGTCGACATCCTCCAACAGGACAACTTCGCGAGTAGAACTGGCGATGGTTTCCTATGTCGAGCTGCCAACGCTTCCAGGTCTCTCAATGGGGGCACCTCATACTTTGGAAACCCTGTGTCAAACTGTCTGAGACCGTCATGAAAAACTAGAAGAAAAATAGTGCCTTCAAGAACAAAGTTCCACTATTGTTCCACTTGTGTTCGGATTATTTTGGTGTTTGTCCGAAAAAATAAATTGGTTTATCATCATGTACCATCGTCTTCCGAATCCAAAAAAAATCGGGACTTAATCTCACATGTTCAAACACACTCAAATATCATATATATGGAGGTTTCAAATCCATGGGGGTACCCTCAAATCAGCCCAAAATAGACCATGACTTGGTATTGAAACAACCGTGGCGACTTGTGGATCCCCCATGACTTAAGAAACCACCATGGTAGTATAATTTCTTCTCCAGAATATTAAACACCCCTTTGGAAACCACGGTCTAGTAGGGAAATGTCCACATAATTGGGACCATAGAAAGGAGGTGGGATTCATACTAGGGGGATGGGGAAAAAAACATGAATATTGGATTCAAATTACCCCCCATGTCATTATGTTTATGCATTCAAAAAATCGGAGATAATCGGGATAATATCTGGGGCAAACTGGGCAAAAATTCACAAACCTAAAACTTGCGGCCCATTTTGGGATACCCTCTTAATTTAACATAGCTATTGAAAATGGCCATTTGTAGTGGATTTACCCATTGAAAATGGTGATTTTCCATAGTTACGTTAGCTTACCAGAGGGTATACTTACAACTACTATCTCCATCATCTCAGTGAGTCGAATTGTGAGGTCGACTCATAATTTACCGATAAAAATATCTGTTTGGTGGTGCAATAACCATCTTGAAACATATGAACGTCGATGGGACGGATGACATCCCATATATGAAATGGAAAAATAAAAAAATGTTTGAAACCACCAACCAGATCTGGTTGGTGGTTTCAACCCCTCTGAAAAATATTAGTCAGTTGGGGTTACTATTCCCAATATATGGAAAAATAAAAAATGTTCCAAACCACCAACCACCCATGAACCCCATGAACATCCCCTATTCTCCCCAATGAATTTCCCTTCGAATCCGCGCCTTGCCAGCCAGAGAGTAGCGATCTGCAAGGGGCAAGGACAGGATCCTGGAGACCAACATGATCACTTCAATGCTGATTTCATGGGATTTTATGGTGATTAATAAGGGAATTCATGGGATTTTATGGGTGATTTAATGGGATTTAATGGGATTGTATGGTGATTAATAGGGAATTAATGGGATTGTATGGTGATTGATATGGATTTGATGGGACATACCCTATGGTAATTTGTTACATAGCTATGGACAATTGCCATATATTTCGATGATTTGCCTATCAAAATTGGCGATTTGCAATAGCTATATTACCAAGGGGCATCTGTTATAGATGAAATATTCCCTTCCTTGTTGGGTGATGTGAAGCATTAGGACATTTACCACCTTTCGGAAATATAGTGAGCCTGTTTTGTATATAATCATGTGTTATCATCTGCCTTTTGGTTGTTGAATGAGGGGAAGCCTCTATTAATCAACTAGTTGGTACTACTCAGTGGGAAATGGACATCTGTGGTTAAACCGCGGCATTCCGCCAAGCCACAAGAAGAATAAGGGCGACTTACTAATCTTACTAATCTTACTATCATCTCATGTGCTTGGGAAACTCTATTCATAGCTCCGGCTGGCTCCCCATTATCATTTAATAGCGAATATGGATATCCATAGCTCAGTACCGAATAGTTTCTGAATTTAACACCTGGCATGCAGAATAAATGCTTATTCATACAGCATACAAAGTATGCAAAAAATGAGCGGCTAGTTTTAGATGTTTCAATCAACATGGGGATTATAATGGTATAAAACCCATCGTTTAAGTTCGGGATATCATGGGATAACACCAAAAGTGAATTCCCACATTTTGGTCGTTCAGCTTTGTTTGGGCTAAATTTCAAAACCAGGCTTTGTTAGGGCTCAACAACCATCAGCAAGAAAGGAGTTCGTAAACCATGTATTGTTGGGGTGATCACCTGTGTGTTGGTTAATTTTTCATGATGTTGAAGCGATTTTCATGACAAGCTAAATGAGCGAATAAATGGGTCTACAAAGGCCTTGTCAAGATGAAATGGAAATTCTTTTGCCTGACTCACATACTTTGCAAATTATGATCTGTTCCCAAACTGGAACGGCTCAAACCCAAAGCCAAATGGATCAATGTCAAGTTAGGATTGATAAACCACTAGGGATTAATCAACACTCACACAGGAAAAAATCCTTGGGCAATACTAAAATGGGTTGGTCCCTCTGATTAATAAACCGGGGGTGTACCCCCCAACTAATCAACCACCAGAGAGAAAATATTGTTTTTTTTGGTTTGTCAATACATGTCAATACTAATTCTTCTAAAAGTAGTCATGCTGGCAGAAATTGTTGCTTCTCATGGATTCTGATAAACCCTTGCTGTTTCCAAATCTCCCCCCCATGCTGCTGCATTGCTCACTCATTGCCCTTTTTTTTCCAGCATGCATCTGCCATGCCAGTCCAAAGACTCCTAAGTTGAAGTCATAAGAGATCAACTTTCAATGATATTAGAGCATAAGAGGAGGTCGATTATTTAGGGGAAAAAACCTTAGCAGAACTTCCTCTCTAGGTACCTACCTGCTGGGGGGGTAGGGGAGGTCCCGACTTATACAAAATTTATTGAAGGATATAGGCAGTGCAGCAGTTCCCAGTTCAGCCTCTGTCATCATCTGATCTTGCAAGTAGAATCTCTAATGCCCATAGCCAACCCGGGACAAGGGGTTGGAATCCCATTTGGGGGTGCAGTTCCTGGTTCTATAGCCATGGTGTTCCACCGTCATAGGGCCCCATATTCAAACTTCTGGAGTCCTAATCCCATGGATATACCATATTCTATTCACCCCAACTGCAGAAGCAAGTATGATATATCTAGGTAAATGTCATCATAATTCACACACCTGAATTGAATTTAACTACATAAGTTATATAAGGCTATTTTTTATATAAGGCCCATTATTCCAGTGAGCTTCCCAGGCTCCTTTGGCTGTTCAGAATTCGGTCGACGGTGGTGTAGAGCTGGGCGGTCTGCGAGAGTCGGATGGGCAGCCCATCGGTTGTTTTTTGCGATGGAAATCCTAGGATTTTAGGATGCTTTTTCTCCAACAAGACATACTTAAAATGAAAAGATTCAATTTTGAAAAGCATTGAATCCTAGATATGTTAAAAACATTTGAATCCTAGATATGTTAAAAAAGCGTGATGTTGACAGTCAAATTCGCATGACAGGCAAATTCAGGTTTCTCCATCATATTGAAACATATTCGCATGACAGTCAAATTCAGGTGTCCCCTACAGTAAGGCTGTCCAACAAAGGAAATTGGGTAAAGTTTGATCCAAGAATAAAATTGATCCAGCGACTCGCGTTTTCTCAGAACTCTTCCAGAATTGGTTGAAAGAAGAAAATGCCTTTCCCAATAGATGGATTTGGATAAAGTGTGATCCAGCAATTATTGATCCAAATTGGTTGAAACCCGTTCAAAATATGTATGTATGTATGTATAGAATCATATACATATAATACATTAAAAATTTAATGGTAAAACCTATATAGCTTAATTGGTGAGTTCTTAAAATGGTGGATCCCCAAAACCATGGGTTTCAATGCTAAAATGGTCTAGTTTTGGATGGTTTGGGAGTACCCCTATTTCAAGAACCCCAATTAAATCCATCTTAACTCAGCTCAGTTTCTGCCTGGCTCATATGCACTGCCACTACTTCACCCTCGTCGCTGGTCACCAGCTGAACACCGGGACCTGCGAAGGGGTAATGCTTTCCCAGGGATTTATCGTGATTTCTCGGTAAATCCATCCAAGGAGTTTTCTTCGGATGGAACTGTAACTCCTCCATTTGAAATTGAACATCGGGGGTAAGTTTTACTATGTCACCAGCAAACCAACGAGGTTTGACCACAGCAAATCCATCCAAGTTGGGGATTGATGCCTGGGCATGTTACAATGTTTCTGGAGGTTGGAGGCCTCGGACCTGACAATCAACTGTAGGTAAGCCTTACAAGCAATCTTAAGATAAGTGGTTGCAAGCAGATCTGATCTATCCGTGTTAAACCCCTGATGGCAGACAGTGACGAAGTCAGGGGAAAGATGAGCAGGAGTGGTGTGTGGGGAGGATAAATGTACCCATTCCGATCCTTTGCCCTGTTCATAGGCAGGTCTGGTTCTAAAACTACTTGTGACTTCTATTGGAAGTTTCATCAGCTGGACAACGAGAAGCAACCAACAAAAGGGAATCGGCAAACGGGTTGAGGATATGATGAACCGACATGGGTAAGCCAACACAAAAGGGAACAAATACAGCACTTCAGCCACAGAAACAAAATAATTAAGGAAATCATGAAATCAACATGATTGGCCATATGTTGCAACCAGCAAAAACTGATCTTCCTACAGAAAGAAGAGACTCAACTATCAAAATCCGGGATTCTGCTAACCCACCAAAAACTATAACAACCGAACAGAGCTGCAGGAAAGTTTCAACATGTTAATCCCTTCCCGTACTTTACTAAACGTACCCCAAATACTAAAAACTAGGGCCACAAAAAAAAATGGGAACTTTGAAGTTGGCCAATTTGAGTTTTAATTGATCCCCTTTAGAAAACAATTTAAAAATTCAAAAATGAAGGTCCCATTTGATGGTTTCACCCCCTAATAATTAAAATTAGTCAACACAGATTTTTTTTTCTATTACTGTACTGTAGGGTATGTCCTTTTCAAAATCAAAAAACAGTTTTTGATTTTATTAAGGTGTTTAATGCAATATTAGGGGAACCTTCGAAATCCTATTTTTGGCAATACTTCAATTAGATTTTTTAAAAAAGGAACTCAACCGATCTTGAAACAGACAAAATAGTAGGTGGTTTAATTAAGGTTTCAAATATTAGGGGGAAACTTCGCTCACTATTACAAAATACCTGCTAATATTCAAAACCCCTCCGGGTGTTTATTATTTGGGGCGGGGGGAGTAATAGGGAAGGGATTAGTTCCAAAGAGTTGTACATATATATATATATATATTATAACTATTGTATAAGCATGTATAAGCTGTACTTCCGGTATAACTTATACGTCTACAGAGTACAGAAAAGAACTGCCTTTCATTGCTTTTCTGCATCGCAAAGATACGAATCTCTCCCGCCTCCAGAGACCGCCTGTCGCGGCAAGCGTCAGGAAAATCTTGCGTCAGAAGTGTGTTTTATGTTTTCTGTCTGGTACAAAAATGCAAAAGTCAATGTAAACTATATGTAAACTATATGTAAGATGAGTAAGTTGTGCATATAGATATTATCATATTATCATATAAACTATATTATCTGTATGTATCTGTATATTCAAATATAGAGACCATAAGCAACCACAACAGCACAATAATCTTCAAATCGGCCATTGGCACCTTGTAACCCTCCGCCATTGGCACCGCCTCAGGAATTCCCAGCCTTCTTTGACCACCGGACAATGGGCGGTCAAAAGCCAAGCATTTTAACAGGGATGCAAAGAGGATATCCTCTGGTAAACGTTTACATAACTATGGAAAATCACCATTTGTCGTGGGAAAATTCACTATAAATGATGATTTTCCATAGTTACGTTAGTTTACCAGAGGGTATAATGAGGAATACCATGAGAAGGTGGAACATACCATGGATCATACTCACCAGGTGGTTTCTCCGCAGTACTGCGTGCCTTCCACAACTCGGGACATTGACAAATAGTGGTGTGACATCTACCAATCACTGCGGAAACTATATAAGCTAATCACTATGATTGAAGAATTATAGGATTGATATGAAAGAATCCCACATCCACATCTCGCAACACGAAATTGTCCTCAACTTTTACATGTCCACAAAAAATTAGAGCAAATATGACATGCAGAAAAACATGTGGCACTTCTTCCTGGTTCTGGCCTTTAACCAACTTGAAATTCCCTCGAAAAAGAGTGGCGATACAGAAAGATGTGGAGAACCCATTATTTTAATGTATAAATTGTTTTCCAAAGGAAACCACAGGTTTTCCACATCTATGTTAGTTTACCTTCTGGTAATTTCACATAGCTTGCAAATGGTTCTTTTATAAACGATATGGTGGTTTGCCTATTAGACATGGTGATTTTCCAGTCCGCTTGTTGAATTACCAGAGGGTATCTACCATTAAATCCCTATTCATCACCATATCCGATAAAGTTGTTCCGCGAAAGTTGACCCATCACATCGCTGTCGAAAGCATACGTCGAGGAGAGGACGAGCACTTGACCATCCGCTGTCATCCTGGACGCCGCTGTCAAACAAGGGAATTAGGAGTACTCCAATTGCTTAACATCAAATAACTTACAACACCATACTACTTACATCATATTACATCATCTTACATCATCTTACATCTACATATATATATATAACTTGCATATAAGTTTCATTTGCTCGTAAAACATCAGCAAACATGGATAACCAATGTGGTTTGGTTTTGCCAACTCTGTTTTCAGGGCAGCAAAATCTACTTGTGCCATCTTCTATCCCTGGAGTTCACATCACTGAAATAGTTCGCTGAACTATCATCCTCCTAAAAACTGTACTGTGTGGCATTGATCTCATGATTATCATCATCTCACAATTCTGATCTATACTCTATAAGTTATATCCTGTGACATAGCCATTCTCTCCTATAAATATCTGATAATATTATTTCATATCCTATCTGGTTGGCGGTTTTAACTATCTTGAAAAATATGAGTTCGTCAGTTGGGAAGGATGACATCCCACATATGATGGAAAATAAAAACCATGTTTGAAACCACCAGCCAGTATAACCATCATATTCCCCTTTGTTGTTGGTTTATACCATCTTTAACCACTAGTAACCATCACTATTAACCAGATAACCAGATATATGGAAAATCACCATGTTTAATAGGGAAATCAACTGTTAGTGAGCCATGTTTCATATCCTATCGTTATAAATCCTATTATAATCCAAAGACATCCATAGCCATTTCTCTTTTGGATCACGTGCGCCATGCCGCGCCATGCCCCGCTTGGCCCCGGCCCCGACCTGGAAACACCAAAACCGGCCGGCTCCAGACCCAAAAACACAGCTGCAGGCGCATCATTGGATCTGAAGGGATACAAACATGGGATATCAACGGTTTTTTTGGTATATGAATGGGATGTGAATGGGATATGAATGGGATATGAATGGGATGTGAATGGTATACGAATGGTATACGAATGGGCTATGAATGGGATTTCAGTGGGATATCAATGGTGGTAAACCATCAGTCAATGGATTGATGAACAAAACATACGAAGTTACTGGGATTGTGTTTCAAGCACGGTGGTGTCCCCCACGCAAGGTGTTGGTTTATCTTCAGAGGTGTAAACCCAACCAACCAATAGTGGTTGCACAATACCTTGACCCAGGGTCAGGGTGCCTCACCGTTGGATTTTGGGTCTTCCCCTGATTTTTGTTGTTCTAAAAATTCCGAAGCAAACGTGCCCAAGAAAAATACCATGAAAATTACTTTACTTCGTGTGATCCCCACCATGACATTTATAGATTTTCTTACTGGCAAATCTTCTGGCATTCTATCTGACATATCTTCTGGCATTCTATCTGGCATTCTACCTGGCATATCTTCTGGCAAATCTTCTGGCATTCTATCTGGCAAATCTTCTGGCATTCTATCTGGCATATCTTCTGGCATTCTATCTGACACATCTTCCGGCATTCTATCTGGCATTCTATCTG